GCATTTTCGATTTGGATATGCGTTGCAGACAATCAATCAATGCGGTGCATAACGTAAGCGAATAATATGCGAAGCACTTTCGATTTTGATATGCGGTGCAGACAATCAATCAATGCGGTCCATATAGTCGTAAATTATGCGGCTGCAAATAATATGCGAAGCACTTTCGATTTTGATATGCTTCGTAAATTATGCGGCTTTCGATTTGGATATACGATTCGTTAATTATGCGGTTGAAGACTAGGCGAATCATCCCAGTTGTGCGATTATTATGGGATATGATATGGGAATCGCACAATCAACCCAATTGTGTGTTTATTATGTGACATGTTATGCGAATCGCACAATAAACCTAATTGTGCGATTATTGTGGGACATGTGTTATGCGAAACGCGCAATCAACTCAATTGTGCGATTATTATGGGAAATATGTGATGTGTGCAGGTCAACCCAATTCCGATTTCGACAATTGTACCTGGATTAGGAACATTTGCTTCTCATTGACCTCTTTGTCGTCGTTGCCTGAGTCACCATTGTGCGTGTTGGTTTGGTCATCATTATTGTCATCGTCACGAGAATGACCTGGTTGGTTCGAACAACCCGAGGTTTGATGATCATCAGCGCCCCGAGGATATCCAGTATGTGTAAATGAACTAGGGCCTGCTTGATGTGAATATGGGGTCTCGTGAGAAAATGAAGAACTACCAACACCAAAAGAACTCGGAAATACACCTTGGGACGCCATCATTTGCGTGAAGCTTTGTTGCGCCGTCCCTGGAATCCCTACATTTACTCGCTTCTCCACTCCACGTAAATGTTGAGATTTCTTTGTTCTTCAATCAGCTCTAAGATATCCTCACTGGATTCGATTTTCATCTTCACAACTCGTTCCTTTCCGTCAAATACTGCCCACAATATGTACTCAAAATTACAAGGATCGGCCTTCAATAATGCTTGAGCACGAGAAACTAATTCAGAATATATTTGTCGGCCGTAATTTATTCTCATCAGCTCTGCCACTCCACCAAGATATGAACCCTCGCAAAACGAACCACCAAAGTGCACCAATACTCTAAC